CTTTCTTTTCTTTTCTTTTGGGGGGGGTGGGGGCAGAGTTTCACTCTGTTGCCCAGGCTGGATTACAGTGGCTCAATCTTGGCTCACTGCAACCTCCATCTCCCAGGTTCAAGTGATTCTCCTGCCTCAGCCTCCCTAGTAGCTGGGATTACAGGCGCCTGCCACCAAGCCCTGCTAATTTTTGTATTGTTAGTAGAAACAGGGTTTCACCATGTTGGCCAGGCTGGTCTCAAACTCCTGACCTCAAGTGATCCACCTGCCTCCCAAAGTGCTGGGATTATAGGTGTGAGCCACCGTGCCCTGCCTGTTGTTCTTTTTAGTTATAACCGTCCTAATGTGTGTGAAGTGCTATCTCATTGTAGTTTTAATTTGCGTTTCCCAAATGACCAATGATGTGGAGCATCTTTTCACCTCTTAACTGGCCATCTGCATACCTTCTCTGGAGAAATGTCTGCTTAAATCCTTTTTCCATTTCTAGTTGTCCATGTCTATTTGTATTGTCTCTTCAATCTTGCATTCTAAGAGGTCTTTACACAGCATATTCTGGATATAAGTTCTGTCTTAGTCCAAGACTGTTACAACAAAATGTCTTACACTGGATAATTATAAAAGTGTTTTATTCTGATGAAATTGGACTTACCAATTTTCTCCTACCACTACATTTTTGGTGTCATATTTAATAAGTCATCACCTGACCTAAGATCGTGATTTACTCCTGTGTTTCTCCTAAGTGGTTTGTAACCAGAACTTACAGATTTAAGTCACAGATTTAGGTCTGTGATCACTTTCAGTTCATTTTTACATTCAATGTAAGGTAAGGGTCCAAATTCATTCTTCTGCATGGGGCTATCCAGTTACCCCAGCACTGTCTGTGGAAAAAAACTATTCTTTCCCCCATGGAATTGTCTCAGCCCTTTTGTCAAAAATCAATGACCATACATTCGAGAGTTTATTACTGGACTCCCCATTTTATTCCATTGATCTACACACCTGTCCTCATGTCAGCACCCCACTACCTTGATTAGAGTAGGAACTGTGACTTGTAAGAGCCACATACTGAATGGATCAGCCAAATTTTTTTTTCTGGTATCTATGAAAAACTCTATTAAATGTTTAGTCATAGATATTTAAAGGTATGCCAAATAAGGTCTGTTACTAACTACAATATTTAGTTACTCCATAAGATGCTGCCTCTGAAAAACATCAAGGTAGGCAACCAAATAACAAAATTCTTTAAATAACTGGATCAGTAATTTTTACAGACCTACTGTGCCCAGAACAGTAAGAGATATGCTATGCCTGGAATCTCTTTTGTAGAAAGCATTATCAGCACAAGAAAAGCCATAAAAGTACTTTTTTCCCTAAAGTTGCCAAAGATTTTCCAGCATCTCCCAAATTCACAGAAGATACCAACAAGCATTTGCTGACCCCCGACAGCCCCTGCCTTCACTTGGTTATTTAATGTGCTTCTTGTTTCTGAAAGTGATTTTCAGGTTAAGATCAGCTTTCTTTCTAGGGTGAGTTTTCATGACCGAAGATAAATTTTGGACCAACAAATCCTTGAGGGTGGTGCCATAGAGAAGTTCTATCAATGACTGAAGCAGGCGCCCAATCTAGCATTTAACTGGGACAACCCTTGAAGAAAGGAACTTGTTTTTAGCCGTCACTGCAGAGAGCTGGGCTACAGGAGGAAGAACAGCCTGCTCCGCTACAGGAGGTCCCTGGGAAGTCTCACGCTATCGGAGGTCTGAGTGGAGCTTTCCCTTGGCTCTGGAAGATGGTCTCTTCCTCGGAGAAGGAATGAAAAAGAATCTGCAGGAGCAGAACCAGGTGGCAGTTAAGGCCCAGTGGGAGCTGCGGCTCCGGCGTCCACGGCCCAGGGGTGGGGAGGAGGAACCAGCGTCTGCTTCTCTGTTGGTGCTGCCCCTCCTTTCTCTTTCTCTCCTCCCAGGTTTCTGCTGCTGCTGCTTTCTGTCACCCCTTGCTGCTCCTCCTTACGACAGTGTCAAGGTCAGCGGTCTCCTTCCTCTAGATCTGATCAGAGGCCATGGACCTTATTCTGCATATAGCTGTGTTGTGTTGTGCCCAGACTTATTGTACTTTTAAAGATGAAATGGCACTGACAATAAGAAGTGAGGAACCCCTCACATTAGAAATGGAGCAATCTTGCTCTTTCTCTTAAAAATTCAAAGATCCGGGCCGGGCGCGGTGGCTCAAGCCTGTAATCCCAGCACTTTGGGAGGCCGAGGCGGGTGGATCACGAGGTCGAGAGATCGAGACCATCCTGGTCAACATGGTGAAACCCCGTCTCTACTAAAAATACAAAAAACTAGCTGGGCATGGTGCTGCGTGCCTGTAATCCCAGCTACTCAGGAGGCCGAGGCAGGAGAGTTGCCTGAGCCCAGGAGGCGGAGGTTGCAGTGAGCCAAGATCGCGCCATTGCACTCCAGCCTGGGTAACAAGAGCAAAACTCCGTCTCAAAAAAAAAAAAAAAAAAAAAAAAAAAAAATCAAAGATCCATTAGCACCAAACCCACACCTTCAAGAGCATCAATGGCTTGAAACTTAGTAGGAATGCCCCTGGAGACTGGGCACAGTCCTCTCAACCACTAGGGAGGGGCCGCATCACGCGTTCTGGGTACATGTTTGACCCTAGAAATCGGAGTGCAGTGGTTCATCCCTGAAGGATGAGGGAAAATAAGCACAGGGGCTACTGCGGAGATGGGGAGTGGGGCTGCTGCAAAGGCACAGCACAGCTGGCCCATGGGGACCTGCTCCCCACCTCCTTGGTAAATAATATGTATTATACAAATAGAAAAAAACACCGTTACCTTCCTGCTAGTATGTTTATCTTGAGTGTATAGTAGAAATTATATATCCATTTTAAATTTTATCTTCATTCCCTTTATCACTTGTAACTCTGATGTCCAAAAAATGGGGAAAATGGTTAAAAAAATCATAATACGGCCGGGCGCGGTGGCTCAAGCCTGTAATCCCAGCACTTTGGGAGGCCGAGGCGGGTGGATCACGAGGTCGAGAGATCGAGACCATCCTGGTCAACATGGTGAAACCCCGTCTCTACTAAAAATACAAAAAATTAGCTGGGCATGGTGGCACGTGCCTGTAATCCCAGCTACTCAGGAGGCTGAGGCAGGAGAATTGCCTGAACCCAGGAGGCGGAGGTTGCGGTGAGCCGAGATCGCGCCATTGCACTCCAGCCTGGGTAACAAGAGCGAAACTCCGTCTCAAAAAAAAAAAAAAAAAATCATAATACATTCCCAGAAAGGGAGATTATATGGTTACTTCAGAGTCTGGGGCAACGCAGAAAATGCTTATCATAGGTTAAAGGAAAAAGCAAACTAGTAATTGTATATTTATATTGATAAGTCCTCTGGATGCTTTTTAAAAAGGCCAGTAGGGAAAGTGCCAAGAGGGAATAGTGGTCAAATTAGGAGCAATATGCGAATGTATCCAGATATTTATATCACTCTAACAAATGGAGTAGTGGCTTCCCAATCTTTGTCCTTACCAGTAATATTAGCAGTGAACAGCTGACTGCAGGCATCTCTGATCTAGGAATTCCACTTCTGACACATGCTCCTTTCTCTATCACGGAATCCTGTTTTTGTTCCCATGGCTCAGAGTAAATGAGTATACGTCTGCATGTTTGTACTGACTTTTACAACAGTGTGTTCCCTCCGCTACACTGTCAGCCCCAAGCAGGAGGCATTTTGTCTTCATGTTCCATGGTGGGAGCCTAGGGTTCTGCCCACAATAGATGCAGTGAATAACTGCTGAACAGAGCCTAAGGAAAGATTTCAAAGTAGGAAAAAGAGGAGATTTTAAAGCCATGCAGTCTCCCAAAAGCTCGCATGAAATATACATCCCTATACATGAGCGTGCCCATCACACCATATGTTTTAAAGAAAAAGCAACTTATGCTAATCTGAATGGCAAGGGAGACAGCTCCTTTTTGGCTTGGATTAAGAAACATAAACCCAGGGCCGGGCGCAGTGGCTCAAGCCTGTAATCCAGCACTTTGGGAGGCCGAGGAGGGTGGATCACGAGGTCGAGAGATCGAGACCATCCTGGTTAACATGGTGAAACCCCGTCTCTACTAAAAATACAAAAAAGTAGCTGGGCATGGTGGCGCTTGCCTGTAATCCCAGCTACTCAGTAGGCTGAGGCAGGAGAATTGCTTGAACCCAGGAGGCGCAGGTTGCGGTGAGCCGAGATCGCGCCATTGCACTCCAGCCTGGGTAACAAGAGCGAAACTCTGTCTCAAAAAAAAAAAAAAAAAAGAAAAAGAAACATAAACCCCACTGCATTCACAATACCTGTTTCATAAATTATACCATATGTCCTTTTATTAGGGATTTCATTTTTTAAATGTTTTACTGTAGTCAATCTGTATACAAGGTTTATATATAAAGCCTCTTGACCCTCTGTCCATTTATTGTCAATAAAAATGGGTGCGACAGCTCCTCCAGTATGTTTGGTTCTTGTGTTGACATTTCCCTCAGCGCTATGGAAGTGTAATGTTTTATGTGGGCAAGACTCCCCAGCGTTTCCTCTGTTGCTTCTTCCACTGCTGTTTGGCTTAGAACGGCTTCCTCCTTCCAGAGGTAGGATGCAAGACAAGAAGTGAAATGAACAGATCTGCCGTCCAGTCCACCTTCACCACGTGCTATGGCGCAGACTTACCCGTGGGAGCGCTACAGAGCATACAGCAGGCTGAGCCCCTGCCTTGTGAAATGTCTGGATTTTTCTGAATGCTATTTATGGAGAAACAGGATTTTTAAGTGATTTTTATTCAACCCCTTAATGAAAGAGGGCCTGATAACTAAACATGCCTCCTGTTTTTAAAATCATTTCAAGAATCTGACCCATGAATGCCGCAACTTCATCCTGCAGTTTTCTGACTGTGCACCCTTCCTCTGGGCCAGCCATCTTCTGTTGTCTCATGTGGGTTTTCACGAGGGATCCGGTCCCAAGGAAATACTCAGAGAAGCAAAAGCAGCAACGACTTTTCAGTCTGCACGTCAGAACCAACAGGAATAAAACTCTCCAGGGATATACGGCAGCAAAACCTGCCAAGCAACTCTGCTCAAAGGATTGAAGCAGGTGCCGCTGCCAGGAGGAACCGATGGGAGAGAAAGATCGGGCTGGGCCCCGATGCGCCAGGACCCCCACTCCAGGAACCAAGGGGCTTCTCCTGGTAAGCGCTTCAGTAATTATGCAGGGCCCACCAATGGCAAAGGTTAAGCAGGTACACTGTGTGGGGGGCGAGGGGGGAGTGGGGAGCAGGGTCTCACTCTGTCACCCAGGCTGGAGTGTAATGAGGCAATCTCAGCTCACTGCAACCTCCACCTCCTGGGTTCAAGCAATTCTCCTGCCTCAGCCTCCGGAATAGCTGGGATTACAGGCACATGTCACCACACCCGGCTAATTTTTGGATTTTTGGTAGAGACGGTGTTTTACCAGCTGGTCTCAAACTCCTGACTTCAAGTATCCACCTTGGTCTCTCAAAGTGTTAGTATTACAGGCATGAATCACCATGCCTGGCCACAGGTATACTTTTTGAAGTAGACTATGTTTTTCTTTGCCATCTCTATGGTTTTAAAGTATTAGAATATGAGTAATATTTGAAATATAGGTGTTGCAGGTATCTTTTTCTCTCAAAAAGTCCCTACTTTTTGTTTAAGCCAAAGAAAATGAAAGTAGAGTATCTTCCCAGTGTGGCATCAACTCGATTTTTAAATATAAAATGCCACCACTGGTTAACTCCTCACATGAGGCAAATTCAAGGCCACGTCCAAATCCTCAGCTCTCATTTTGTGAAATAAAATGTTTTACTTCTTGTGGTTGTTTTGAGAGGATATCCTAAAATAAAGTTTTCTTATTTCCATCAAAACAGCTAAAATAATTTATATGTTTTAGCAATAAGCATTTTGTGAAAGACATCCATTTTACCAGACAGTTAGATAGCTTTGAATTCAAAATCAGTCCAACTTATAATGCAAATAACTCAAGAATACACTGTGCTAACACTGAGGCTGCTCTGGACAGCATTCTAAGCTCAGAAAAGGACACCACATTTTCGTTGTGTGGCCACAGGGACTAGAGGACGAGTGGAGGGAGCACCTGCAGTTACGGTTTCAGGCTGCATTACTCCGAGGGCTGCATGCCCGTGAGCACGGAGCACCTCCAGGGGCCAGGCTCAGCGTGAAACTCACATCCTTCACTCCTCACCTCCTCCCAGTGTCCTTGAGGCAGGCACTACCATACACCGCGTCCGCAGTCAAGAAAATGGACACTCGGGGAACTTCCATTACTTGCCCCACAGACTCCTTAAGTGCTAGGACTGTGAGCTTAACGTGAGAGCCCTGATTCAAAGCCCATTCCCTGAAGCTAAATATGAGGTTCCTAATAAGGTCAATGCAATAATGAGCCCCCCCGCAAGGAGTGAAGCGCTCAAAAACTTTATTTGGGTGCTAAGTCAGCTGTTTATGCTGGTTAAACTAATGTTAATGCTCTAAAACAGCAATATTCTACAATATGTGGCAAAATAGTTTGAGTTCACTTTTAGAGGCACCCATCCTCTATTTACTCATAGGAATTACCTTTAAAATATATAAATATAAAAAATTCAGCAAAAAGGATATATATGGGATGCTGCCAACTCTCCCTAAAAAGTCTTTATCACAAATTAAATATCATCGTAACCAATTCACAAAGACTATCCTTCAACGAACTGTTCTGGAGGTAACATGGTATCAAACCCATATTGCTGACTTTTGCTATTGGCTGTGAAGTCTTGTTGGGAGTGGACACTGGGAGGAGGTAATTTAGAAGAGAAAAAGACCACAGGCACCGGCTCTCACTAGGAGAGCAATGTGTTTTGAAACCACCCCCTGGAAGTACTTTAACCTTCTACAAAAACATAAGATGTAAAATAATTCCTCTCTGAGAATTATTAACTGGAAAGCATTCCCGTTCTTGTGCAGATTCTGGCACTAAAAAGTTAACCACCATCCTGGCCATAAGTTTGATCACCATCTCCACTGAAAGATATTATCTCTTGGATGCTAGATGGCTTCAGTCAACCGAATGTACGATTTTAACATTATTCACTGCTTGGAAGCTGTTTTGTTTCACTGCACACTATATACATATTTAACAATGCTACTTTTCAAAGGCTGCAGATATGGAGGACTAAAAGATTATTAAAATATACAAGGTCTAGGAAAGACAATTTAAAGATAGACAGTACATGAAAAAAGTCTTGAGATGGTCTCACACACAAACCCCCAAATTTATTTTATTTTGGAGACAGGATATCACTCTGTTGCTCAGGCTGGAGTGCAGTGGCATGATCATGGCTCACTTCATCCTCAACCTCCCTGGCTCAAATGATCCTCCCAGGAGCTGGGACCACAGATGTAGCTAATTTTGGGACCCCTAATACTTGGCTAATTTTTTATTTTTATTTTTTTTTTGGTAGAAATGAGGTCTCGCCGGGCGCGGTGGCTCAAGCCTGTAATCCCAGCACTTTGGGAGGCCGAGGCGGGTGGATCACGAGGTCGAGAGATCGAGACCATCCTGGTCAACATGGTGAAACCCCGTCTCTACTAAAAGTGCAAAAAATTAGCTGGGCATGGTGGCACGTGCCTGTAATCCCAGCTACTCAGGAGGCTGAGGCAGGAGAATTGCCTGAGCCCAGGAGGCGGAGGTTGCGGTGAGCCGAGATCGCGCCATTGCACTCCAGCCTGGGTAACAAGAGTGAAACTCCGTCTCAAAAAAAAAAAAAAAAAAAAAAAAAAAAGAAATGAGGTCTCACTATACTGTCCAGGCTAACCCCCAAATTTTAGAAACTGTTAGTTTCCTTGTGTAATACACAAGGAAACAGGACACTGGACTAGTAAAAATAGGTCTGTTCCAGACAAAGAACTTGCTCCATAACACACAGCGTAACAGCCACTCTTTCTAGAGCCTTTACAGTAAGTATCTTAAACATCTTTCTATGGAGGAAAAAAATGGTTCGAAAACTCAGTATGACAACTTTTTTTTTATGAGAGGCATATTCCCCACACTTAGAAAATAGCACCTACATTTACTGGAAATTAGTGATAGAAAATCACGTTTAGTAACTAAACTTCCATTATTTTTTCATTAAAAAGTGGACTTCGCAATCTAGAAATAAAACAGCCACAACAAAAACTCACTAATAATTGCTAGGAAATGTTTGCAAAACTGAAAATACTGTTCACCATTACTTTAAAAGGGAAAAAATGCCAGGCCATGAAAAGTTTCTTCCTCTAGGAATTTTCATATTACCCATTAGATGTTATGTTCAAGTGACAGCAATAGCAGCGAGATCTCCAAAGGCCTGCATTTACAATAGAGGACCTGGCTGCCTTAAAAACCATGTCTTGATACACTGTGTGCACTGAAACATCACTTCATGCTCCATAAACACATACAATTCTTATATGCCAATTTTTAAGTGGTTTTTTTTTTTTGAGACGAAGTTTCACACTGTTGCCCGGGTGGGAGTGCAGTGGCGTGATCTCGGCTCACTGCAACCTCTGCCTCCTGGGTTCAAGCAATTTTTCTGCCTCAGCCTCCCAAGTAGCTGGGATTTCAGACACGTGCCACCACACACCTAGCTAATTTTTTGTATTTTTAGTAGAGACTGGGTTTCACTATGTTGGCCAGACTGGTCTCAAACTCCTGACCTTGTGATCCACACACCTCGGCCTCCCAAAGTGCTGGGATTACAGACAAGAGCCACTGGGCCTACCCACTAACAAGTTTTTCTTTTTAAAGCTCGTGTGGCAAAACCCCATCTACAAAAAATTAGCTAGGAGCCTCTAGTCCCAGCTATGGGGGAGACTGAGGTGGGAGGATCGCCAAATCCCAGGAGGTTGAGGCTGCGATGAGCCATGCTCATACTACTGCACTCCAGCTTGAGTGACAGAGTGGGGTCCTGTCTCAAAAAAAAAGCTTAGATTGAAACAATGACAAACTAAACTGCTGGGGACCCCGGTTTCCACTCAACAGGGCAGTCCAGCAGGCATCCATTCTGAGGTTTCACGGTGAACCTGAGCCAGAGGGAAGATTTAACTGGGCCGAGGTGAAAGCTGCGCTGATGGAACCAAGGTAGAAATAAGGCAGCAGCAGGTCAACACTGAACTGGCCATGTCCCTGTGTCTATATAAGGGAGAGAAAAACACTTAGCCTGGGTATTTTCCTAAAGGACAATGGGCTATGCTTGGGGCCTGTCTTCATTTAATTATTATAAACTACTGAAAATACCCATCTCCTGGGCTCTGCATAAGGCTAAGTTTACTTGGGGTATCATATGACAGTGATGAGGGGCTAACTCACTTCTGTGACAGGAGAAACAGAATGATTTCACAGTCAGCTTAAAAACAAAATAGCCAAGCATGGTGGCTTGGGCCTGTAATCCCAGCACTTCAGGAGGCCAAGGCAGGTGGATCACCTGAGGTCAGGGGTTCAAGACCAGCCTGAAGAACATGGAGAAACCCTGTCTCTCCTAAAAATAAAAAATTAGCCTGGGTGTGGTGATACATGCCTGTAATCCCAGCTATTTGGGAGGCTGAGGCAGGAGAATCGCTTGAACCCAGGAGGCAGAGGTTGCAGTGAGCTGAGATTGTGCCATTGCACTCCAGCCTGGGCAACAAGAGAGAAACTCTCCTAACAATAACAACAAAATAGGCCAGGTGCGGTGGCTCATATTTGTAATCCCAGCACTTTGGGAGGCCGCAGAGGGTGGATCACTTGAGGTCAGGAGATCCAAGACCAGCCTGGCCAGCATGGTGAAACCCTATCTCAACTAAAAATACAAAATTTAGCTGGGTGTGGCAGCAGGTGCCTGTAATCCCAGCTACTCGGGAGGCTGAGGCAGAAGAATCCCCTGAATCCAAGAGGTGGAGGTTGCAGTGAGCCGAGACCGTGCCACTGCAACAGCATGATCTCAGCTCACTGCAGTGCAGTGGCACGATCTTGGCTCACTGCAGCCTCTGCCTCCTGGGTTCCAGCAATTCTTCTGCCACAGCCTTCTGAATAGCTGGGATTACAAGCGCATGCCACCACACCTGGCTAATTTTTGTATTTTCAGTAGAGACGGGGTTTCACCATGTTGGCCAGGCTGGTCTTGAACTCCTGACCTCAGGTGATCCAACCGCCTTGGCCTCCCGAAGTGCTGAGATTACAAATATGAGCCACCACGCCTGGCCTACTTTCATTTCAAGAACATTTTTCATTCCTATTCAATTTCTATTATCAGGTTTTATTTATTTTAGAACTCTCATATAAAATGTATAAATTATGATGGTTTTATGTTTATAAAAATAAATATTACATAATTTATAAGAATGTCTTTAAAATTAGGTTATAAGATTTCATGTTTGAGGCAAAAAACATTTACTGAGCCAGTGGAACACACTGTAGCCTGACATACCTGGGCAGTGGCTGCTTGTTATTTTTGAAGCATGATGGGTAGAAATAAACTGTACAATGAAAATAAATACAACATCTTTAAAACCAAAATTAATGTTAATAGTTTTTGGTGGCTCAGAGTTTAAGAGCACAAGGATAACTCAAACTGCTGCCTGGTTGAGGCTTTATCCAAACAGCATTTATAAAAATCATGTGGAAAGGCAAGGGACCAGTGTCCAATCTAAGATCAAACACCAGTTGAACGTACACAGGCTTTTTAAAAATAGAAATAGGAACAAGATGCAACTAAAAATTAGCGAGATGTGGTGGTTCCCTGATTATCCCATTGCACTCCAGCCTGGGTGACAGAGTGAGACTTTGTCTCCCAGAAAAAGAGAAAAGAAATAAGTTTCTGAATTGTTTGTAGGAAAGATGTGATAGATTAAAAACAAGATACCTTTATTTAATAAATAACATTATTTGATAATCATATAGTTGTCTGTCGAGTCTACAAAGGTACATGAATACGTGTAGCAGTAGCAAAAAGTGACCAAAGGTGTTTCAATTAATTTATTATTATTATATGCAAAGGTCATTCTTTAGGGTTTTCTTTTCTCTTTTTTTTGGGAGACAGAGTCTCACTCTGTCACCCAGGCTGCTGTGCAATGGGATAATCAGGGAACCACCACATCTGGCTAATTTTTAGATTTTTTGTAGAGATGGGGTCTCACCATTTGTCCAGGCTAGTCTTGAACTCCTGGGCTCCAGTGTTTTCTGCCTTGGCCTCCCAAAGTGCTGAGATCACAGGCATGAGCCCAGAAACTCACTTCAACAGGTTTAAGTGTATAATCATAAAATTCCTCTTAATTTGTCACGTCTTTTATTGGATCATATACAGAGTAATGGCATACAATGAACTTTGAATAATACAGAACAGGTCAGTGTCTATGTCCAAAATGAGTACTTGAGATTTTTCATCTCCCTAAATAAGGGCAATAACATGAAAATATGCTCAACATCATTAGTCATTAGGGACATGCAAAGTAAAACCACAGGGAACTAACATTACATTAAAAGGTAAAAAAAATTTGACCACAGCAAGTATGCATGAGGATACATAATAAATTGCAGTATCATACATTACTGGCACAACCACTCTGGAAAACCGTTTGGCAGTTTCTTAAACAGTTAAACACACAATGACAGACTAGTTTATAGTGACACAGATTATGGCATATCGCAATTGCCACAGATGGGGATGGAAAGAGAGGATGAAAAGGAGCATAAGAATACTCTGAGGGGTGAGGGAAATGCTTGTTACCTTGATTGTGGTGATGGTTTCATGGGTGTGTATATGTAGTTTAGTATACTTCAATAAAATTGCAGGGGAGAGTTATGACATCCTAAACTGTATCTGTTTTTCTTTTAGGAAGCTTAAAGGAAAAAATACTCAAATTATGGTAGTAAGAATGCACTTGGAGCTCAAGACATGAGCCAGCTTCGAGCCACAAAGTCTGGACTTATGGTGTGCGCAGTTATCTGCATCTTCATTTTTTTTTTATTTAAGGAATCCAACTCCTGTAGAACCAGAAGAGGAACCTGTCTATCCAGAAGTAGTAGAATGTGGCTTTTACCCAGAAGAACTGTGTTCTGCTTTATTTGAAGGAAAAGGGGTGGCCCTCCAAATTGCAAAATTTTGCAAAATCCCTCATAAATCCAAAATACATGCTCATTTACACACACCAGGAAACTGTTCCAGGACTTCTCAAGGACTGCATTTCATAACCAGACCCCTGTCTGCAGAAGAGGGCAATTTCTCTTTGGCATATATTATAACGATTCATAAGGAGCTGGCCATGTTTGTACAGCTTCTCAGAGCTATTTATGTACCTCAAAATGTTTATTGTATTCATGTTGATGAAAAGGCCCCAAAGAAGTTTAAGACTGCTGTGCAAACCTTGGTTAACTGTTTTGAAAACATTTTTATTTCCTCCAAGAGAGAGAAGGTGGCTTATGCTGGCTTTACAAGACTACAGGCAGATATTAATTGTATGAAAGATCTAGTGCGTTCCAAATTTCAATGGAACTATGTCATTAATCTTTGTGGTCAGGATTTTCCCATCAAAACCAACAAAGAAATCATACACTACCTCAGAAGCAAATGGAATGGTAAAAACATCACTCCTGGAGTAATCCAACCACCACGTATTAAATCCAAGACAAGTCAAAGTCATCTCAAATTCATTCCTGAAGGAAATACCTACGCATCTCCAAATAACAGATTCAAAGATAAACCACCCCATAACTTAACTATTTATTTTGGAAGTGCTTATTATGTACTTACGAGAAAGTTTGTAGAGTTCATACTGACTGATATCCGTGCAAAAGACATGCTTCAGTGGTCCAAAGACATCCACAGCCCAGAGCTACACTACTGGGTGACCCTGAACCGACTAAAAGGTAAGAATGACCTAACTGGTGTGGATGCCTCTTCAGGTCAGCAGCAACAGCAGGAGAAGATTTACTTTTTTTTTGAGATGGAGTTTCGCTCTTGTTGCCCAGGCTGGAGTGCAATGGTGCGATCTCAGCCCACTGCAACCTCTGCTTCCCAGGTTCAAGCGATTCTCCTCCTTCAGCTTCCTGAGTAGCTGGGATTACAGGCATGCACCACCATGCCCAACTAATTTTTGTATTTTTAGTAGAGATGGGTTTCTTCATGTTGGTCAGGGTGGTCTCAAACTCCCGACCTCAGGTGATCTGCCTGCCTCAGCCTCCCAAAGTGCTTGGATTACAAGCATGAGCCACTGTGCCCAACCAGAAGATTTATTCTTTTCTTCTTCTTTCTTTTTTTTTTTTTTTTGAGACAGAGTCTCGCTCTGTCGCCAGGCAGGAATGCAGTGGTGCAATCCTGGCTCACTGCAATTTCCACTTCCTGGATTCAAACAATTCTCCTACCTCAGCCTCCCAAGTAGCTGGGACTACAGGCACGTGTCACCACACACAGCTAATTTTTGTACTTTTTAGTAGAGACAGGGTTTCGCCATGTTGGCCAGGTGGTCTCAATTTCTTGACCTCGTGATCCGCCCACCTCAGCCTCCCTAAGTGCTGGGATTACAGGCGTAAGCCACCACGCCTGGTCCAGATTTATTCTTTTTCTTTTTCCTCAGTCTTGGATACATCTTTATCAGCAGACGATTTATTCTTAACTGAAGATTCTTTTTTCAATTTACCTATGTTTCTTTAGCTTTGTAAATGTTCTACATTTTGCAGGACCTTCCACTTAGGGAGACAGGAAGTTCTCTGATTTTAGGGGTCTGAAGTTAGCTAAAAGATGTTCCCAAATCCGTCTGGCTGCTTTTGTTCCCTCTCCAAAAAGAAGTACTTGCATTCTGCATTTCCTCAGAGACTTTGGAGAAACCTGAGCATAAATCTTTAGAAAGTCCTTCATTTATTTGATAAACACTACTGGATACCTACTAGTGCGAGGCATTGTGCTAAGGGCTCTGTAAGACGGAAAATATTAAAGCTAGTAATATTTTTGTGGCAAGTCTGATACTTCAGATGGGTTCTCTGAAAGGTAGAGGGAAATCAGTTACCACCCTTTTTTTTTTTTTTTTTTTTTTTTTTGAGACGGAGTTTCGCTCTTGTTACCCAGGCTGGAGTGCAATGGCGTGATCTTGGCTCACTGCAACCTCCGCCTCTTGGGTTCAGGCAATTCTCCTGCCTCAGCCTCCTGAGTAGCTGGGATCACAGGCACGTGCCACCATGCCCAGCTAATTTTTAGTAGAGATGGGGTTTCACCATGTTGACCAGGATGGTCTCGATCTCTTGACCTCGTGATCCACCCGCCTCGGCCTCCCAAAGTGCTGGGATTACAGGCTTGAGCCACCGCGCCCGGCCCAGTTACCACCCTTTAAGTGGATTTCAGTATTTTCTCTTTGTAAAATGTGAACTTGCCTCCTATAGGGAGTGTAGCTTCAAGCCTGAACAACCAAGCTAATCAGCCTAGATAGTGGTATATGATGAATCCAGCAGAAATTGGTTAGCATTTTTCTTATAATCTCATATCCACTGCAAGTTCTATTTTCAAATAATCTCTGAGGGCTGTTACAGAGAAAACACAATCCAAAGAACCCAAAGAGAATCACGAAGAGCACTCTGCATACAACAAGCAAGTAACAAGGGATGGAGAAAGGGATGAAAAAAATGAAATCCAAGTACAAAGATGAGGATCCCTGACCTTGGTCCACCCGGATGCTACTGCCAGTGCAGCAGATGCTACTACCCCCAAAAGCACTAGCCTTTGATCAGATGTAACAAGTGAAAGATTTCAAGGAAGGCTGGACTTTCCCCTTCACTTTTCTCATTGACTATCTCATCTAGAGGAAATGGAAATGATAGCACAGAAGAACTTATACTAAAAGAAGTGGGAAGCAGATTCCACATCGTATGGTTTTGTTTTCCTCTTAGATGCTCCAGGTGCTACACCAAATGCTGGCTGGGAAGGAGATGTTCGAGCTATTAAATGGAAAAGCGAGGAAGGAAATGTTCATGATGGATGCAAAGGTAAAAAGAAAAACAAAACAACAAAAAAGGTTTCAAATTTTACAACTAGAAAGCTGCCTAAATTCCAGTGGGAAAGCCTGAGGATCATGTTTAAAGTAATCTGGAATTAGTGATGATCCAATTAGCATAGGTTGAGTCAATTTTTAAAAATCTTTTTTATATAAGATTCATAAAGAAAAGTACACAAATCACACACAAAAAAAGTTGATAACATTTCACAAAGTGAATATACCCTCTGCGGCAATAGCTGGGCCCTGCCGTGTGTCCACACACCGCTTCCTACCCAGTGACAGGAACTACTGAACAAAGATACATGAACGGATTTTAACGGTGCTTCTGGGTAAGGTCCTTGGGTTTGAATATAGTAGACCAGCTATTAAACTAGGTTTACCCAGTTTTTCAGCTGTTTAAAGGACTGGCCTAAAATAAACAGGTTGGAGACAAAAAATGTAAGTTAAATACCAGACTAGTTCAAAGACAAGTAGTCCTGCTGCCGGCGTGCACAGCCGCGCTCCTGTGTAGAGGTACCAGGTTAGAGGGCTGGAACCTTCTAGTGAAGTGGTTTTTTAAAAAGTAGATAAGATTCAATTAGGGATCCATTCACATGGTAGAAAGGTGACAGGTAAACCACAGGTTAGCAAGAGCTCTGCTCTTTCTTTAGAAAGCAGGGGCTCCCTGTCATTACACACTGGGGTTCAGGACTTATCAGTATGCTCAGAAAAGCAGGGTGCTTGATTCTTCCTAGAAACAGGAGCCCCTCACGTGTGCACATGGTGTAAGAAGTTATGAAGGGTTGATACCATCAATAATAATGATTCAGAATTCTGAATGAAATCTGAATGTTTTAACAATGTTTTAAAAAATCCTAGTTATTATAAATCCTAACAAAGCTCTCATTCCCTAAAGTAGACACTTCAGAAAGTTCTTACCATCCCCAGCTTCAGTATGAAAACAGTTCTCACAGTTAGGCAGTAGTGTGGCATCTGTGGCCAGCATTCAGATCAGCACCCAAAGAAGGCCAAGCCCTGGTGCAGGGAGGTGGTAAACCTTCGGGCCTGGCTCTGGGCCTGCACTCAATCCTCACAACAATTGTCAGGTAGAAACAACTATTATTCACCCTTTACCAATGCAGAACCCAAGGCTCAGGGAAGTGAAGTCACTCCCACAGGCACAGTGGGGGCAGGGCTGGGCCTCAGACTGGGGGCAGCTACCTGCCGCCACTACAATGCATGAGCTCCCAGCCCGACTCTGCACACAGAAGGACGGCTATCCCATCAGAAGCAGCAACCAAGAGTTCTTTTATTTTTAGTCACCCAAATAGCATTAACACAGCTCTGAAAATGGTACATTGATTTTTATTCCCTTCTAGTTCAAGTTCATCCGTGTCTAAATGGCCCAGCTGTATTGTTACAATAAGGGTGTAGCTGAGCTGCTTTTCTTACGTCCTGAGTTTCTCCCACTGACTGTCTTCATATCTGTAATCTTTTTTTTCTTTTTTTTTTTGAGATGGAGTCTCACACTGTCACCCAGGCTGGAGGGCAGTGGTGCCATCTCAGTTCCCAGCAGCCTCCACTTTCTGGGCTCAAGTGATCTTCCCACCTCAGTACAAGTAGCTGGGGCTAAAGGTGTTAAGCCTGGCTAGTTTTTTATTTTTGTAGAGATGGGGTCTCACTATGCTGCCCAGGCTGGTCCTGAACTCCTGGGCTCATGTGATCCTGTTGCCTTGGCCTCCCAAAGTGCTGAGATTACAGATATGAACCACTGCATCTGGCCCATATTTATAATGTTAAACTAGTTAAATGTAACTCTACTGAGATTCTAGCACATTGTAACAAATACGTTTAACAGTTAAAATTTTTTAAATCATGGTAACAGCTGCTACTTACATAGTCTTACAAACAACACTGGACTTTCTGTGCAAACATCCCCCTGCCCCTTTCAAAAATAGTATTTCCTTAAGATAGTTTTTAAAAGTAGGATTACTGGGTTGGTGTGGGGAAGAGAGCAGCAAGGAGCTGGAGAGAAAAAGCAAGGTTTCTGAAACAGACCTCCTTCCCTCTCATACACACGCTGAGCCCTCACTTCTCTAAATCTGTTTCCTAACCTGCAAACTGAGAATAGCAATAGAACCCACTTCAGAGTGTTCCTGTGAGAATTAAGAGAGAGAGCAGAAAGAGCCAGGCACAGTTGTCAAGCATATAAAAAATATTACTGAGTCTTCAAGGAATCTAGTCACCACTGGATTCCAACACTCATTCCCACTTAAAAAAAAAAAAAAAATTAGAGACAAGGTCTCACTCTATTGCCCAGTCTGGTCTCGGCCTTCTGGGCTCAAGTGATCCTCTTGCTTCGGCCTCCTGAAGTGCTGGAATTGCAGATGTGGGCCACCATGCCGGGCTTGCAATCCCAATTCAATGTTTCTAACAAATGTTCACTCTGAAAAACCAATAAAAAGCAGCGCCGGGCATGGTGGCTCACACCAGTAATTCCAGCACTTTGGGAGGCCGAGGAGGGCAGGTCACTTGAGCCTAGGAGTCTGAGACCAGCCTGGCCAACATAGTGAAATCCTGTTTCTATAAAAAATACAAATATTAGCTGGGCATGGTGGTGCATGCCTGGGGTCCTCAAAAAAGGTAGAAGCAATGACTTATTAAAACCCGTAACATTCTTATGAACTCCTTACAACCAATGAAAAACTTAGAAGTTCATGGAACTTAGAATCTACCAGAATTGAGATTTTATCAGACAGATGAGTGCTAGCTCATCTCCCTTGTGCCCAGGATGAGCTGAAATTTCATGGTATTCACCTAATGTATTAACTAACAAAGATTTTAGAAATCACTAAAAAAAAAAAAAAAAAAAAAAAAAGAAGGCATCCCTTTCCACTGTAAGTTCAAAATTCAACATAAAAGCCCCTGTCAAAGTGTCAAAGCAATCATGGAATGCTCTTTGATGTGAACTCTGGTGAAGCTGAGGCTCGCAGATGGCAATGGACGAAGCCACTTTCTGTGCACGCAGAATGGGTGAGAAAACAGAGGCAGCTAGGTTTCTGTTTCTTTCTGCAGGCCACTACGTCGAGGACATCTGTGTATACGGACCAGGAGACCTGCCGTGGCTCATTCAGTCGCCTTCTCTGTTTGCTAACAAATTCGAACTCTCGACAGACCCGCTTGCGGTTACCTGCTTAGAGCGGCGGCACAGACTTCAGGCGCTCAGGCAGGCAGAAGTTCCTACAGAGCCACACTGGCATTTCCAACAGCAGAGTCATTTCAGTATGAGACCGCACCGCTAGGCAGTGTCTGCTTTCTTACTTGTTGACTTGAAACAAGAGAACGTTGAACCAAAGAAGTGGGAAAATCATTCCTAGATATAAATTATTCCTTAAATGAATACAGAAACATGCTGTTGACAAGACTTTACTATTGATTACAGGCCACTTTTATAGCTATGGGAAAGAAATCACAAGACAAAAAAACTCAAGCTACCACTGGTGACATACAGCAATGCACTCAGAAGGTCAACTGCTTCAGTAAAAAGCTGCTGAAAACACAAATTCTCCGAACAGTTGGATCCAGGCTCAAGCTTGAGTAAGAATGACACAGCCTGTTTTGAAGACCCAGATATTAAGAACAAGCTCCCAGTGAAAATGAAAATATGCTTATCTGAAACAGTCCTCACTGGCTGCAAACAATGTAAGTCTGTTCTGGCAGTCCCAGACAAATACTGAGCAGTATTTGTCTTTCGGTGAAACATTTCTTTAGGTGAAATGGAACTCATCTGCAGTAGAAAACGCACCTGGTTAAAAAGGGTGCCCTAAGTGTCTACAGTCCTGATGTGACCTATCGTCTCCTAGCACCTTCTGTGGGGTGGACGCATTCCACAGCCAGGCTGTCCAATGCTTGCCACAACCACAGGGGCTCCTAGGCATTGGAAATGTGGCTAGTGCAACTACAAAAGTGAAACTTAATTTTTATTTAATTTTTAAAAATTTAGTTACCTTTAAATAGGCACATGTGGCTACTGGCACCATGCTGAACAGCACAGATCTGAGACATGAATGGTCTTAACTATCTCTATTCACAGATCTACGTCTCCTCCCTTCCAAAGTCCATGACTTTTTGTTGTTGCTGCTGCTGCTGCAGAGAACTTTATATATAGTCTTTCTGAAATGCATGACTATTAAATGGCACAACATACAAGAGATTTTAAAACGGGATTTAAAAAAGAAAACACTGGAACCAGAGGAGAGGAAATTAAAGAAATGGAATTCCAATGCAAAATGTAAGCACCTCAGTAAATGGAAGCTTCCCATGCATAGAAATGAAGTCAAATCACCGTGTGTCAATGAGATCGCCCGCCCTGGGAAAACATAATCGCTAGCCAGAGGGGAAAGGAATTTGGAAGGCAGATCTCACAAATCAAACATCAAGGAACCACAGAAAATTAACACCTTTGTTTAAACAAACATTTTTTTCCCTTGGATATCTAATCCAAGAAAAGCACATATGGATAATATTAAGACTTTCAAAAAGAACACAAGAGCTCCATGACAGCACACCACCGCCTTCCTACACATTTTTACAGGCAAACAAGGCGCTCCGAAAGGCAATAGCTGGCTACGTGCTGATGGGCTGTTCATTCAGAAAGCTCACATCAGCCACGATTATGTCCCCAGCATTTTATAACTCAATAGCAATTAAATGTAAACCCCACTAAAGGAACCATAAAAAAGCTTTTATCTTTCAAGTTACTTAAAGCACAAGCCTGCCTTCACTTCATTCCAGTATCAACCCATGGTACACCCAGTCACATACTGTGGAGGGGGCCTTGTGAGAGCATCTGCCCACCAGCACTGTTACGAGGGCGTGGGTGTTCCTGGGGGAGAAGCCCTCAGAGAAATGTCTGACATTTTTAACAGAGGAGGAAATTGAGACACAGGGAGACGATGAGATGTTCCTGGGATCACACAGCTGGGAAGATGAGGATAGGATTTGGACCAGGCATCTACACTCTGCAGTATCACTGCTGAGTCCCAGGCAGCTACACCGCCTTACCTCACACAAAGCAGCACAAATTAAAACAAACACCTGCCCCCAACAGTCTTAAATACTATAATGAAGTCATGTCCTGAACAAATCATTGCAGTAACAGCAGGATAGAGCAGAATAAAAGGACCCTAAATGCATGGTGGAGTGCAGCAGCCTGAGACTGGGCTTCAGTGGACAGTAGGGGTAGCGATGGAAAAGGAGGCTGAGAGGCAGGGAGGCCGAGGCAGGGAGGCCAAGAGGCAGGGAGGCTGAGAGACGGGCAGCCTCAACAGGCCTGGGAGGCCAAGGGAAAGCAGCAGCCTCCGTGAGCATCAGAACAAGAAGCCTAGGCTCACTCTCTCCTGATCAGACCCTCAGTGTGTTCATGGGTACAGTAAAAGAACAAAACTAAATCATATGCAAAATGTGTCAAATATATTGCCAAGGTGATGTATATAAATAGGAATCTCAAAATAATTTATCTAGCTTTTTGGGAACAGAACTCTCTTGCTACCACATAAAGTTTACTCTTCAATTTTTTGATTCAATTTTTCTTACACGTGAAAGTTTAAGGCTGCCTGTGCTGTGTCTTATGTGATTCCTTGATGCTAAATATTCACAAAGAGTATAAAGACAGCATAAAGCATAATTTCAAAAAGGCCAAAGCCTGAAAACCAGAATTAGCTGTGCTGACAACCAGAATTAGCTGCGCTGACTACTACTGATAACACTCCTTTTCCCTAACTTAACTTTTTCTCTTTCCACTCCACCCACTCCATGAAAAGCAGGTGGACAGTGCAGGTATGTATTTTTTGACTTCTGACTTTAAAACATCCACACACCTCATTCACCTATCTACAAAGCCCAAATAAATGAACCACAGAGATAGCAAGTCCGATGCTACTGATCACAACTCCAATACTACACATCAGCACTTTTCAAATTTTACTGTGTATACAAATCATCGAAAGATCTAGTTAGAATGTAGATTCTACTTCAACTGATCTAGGGTAGGGCCCGAGAGTCTCTCTTTCTTTTTAGTTAACTTATTCTTTTAATCTTGTTTTTTTTGTTTCTTTTTCTGATACAGGGTCTCACTCTGTGTCACCCAGGCTGGAATGCAGTGGCACCATCATGGCTCACTGCAGCCTTGAACTCCGGGGTTCAAGCCATCCTCTTGCCCTAGCCTTTCACATAACTAGGACTAACATAACTAACAGGTGTATGCCACCACGGCTGGCTATTTTAAAAGTTGTTGTAGAAACAGAGTCTCCCTATGTTGCCCAGGCTGGTCTTTAACCCCTGGTCTCAATTGATGCTCCCGCCTCAGCTCCTAAAAAGCTGGGATCATAGGTGTCAGCCATTGTGCCTGCCCAAGAGTGGGCATTTCTTAAAAAATAAACAAAAAAACCTGCCAGATGATGACAATATTGCAGGTCTGTAGGTCATGCTTTGAATAACAAGCCCATCTTTTATTTTGCAGCCTGTAATTACTCCAATGTGTTTCTTCTTATTACAAGAAGTGCAGAGCACAGTAAGGAATACAATTAATATTTTGGCTAGTGATTTGTTTATAGTAAACACAAAAACACCTAGCAGCTACATCTCTTTGGACCCTGTTTACTGAAACCAATGTGCACACCCTGTGTTTTAGAACATGGCACCAATGCCATTTCAAGCTCTCAAGTCTCTTCCAGTGAACTGAAAAGCCAACTGTTGGTGTAACGACAGCCTGAAAAGTGGAGAAAATGTATACCCTCAATACAACTGAGGTTCCTGACATTCTTACGACACTGGTTTCTCTAAATGTTAGACATTATCTAAAAAGTGAACATACTTGTTTTAGACTTTGACACTGTGGCTTTATCTCTCTTCATTCACGTTTTTGTGATGCACTACAGTTCCTGAAACTGCACCATCACTTTTCTTTTTGGTAGAGTTTGGTAGAAATATGTAGTGTTCACCTCTTCGTCCTGGGCATCCAGCTAGACTACATTTCCCAGGTTATCCTTGCAGGTGTGGCCATATGACTTCGTTCTGGCTGATACAATGTGAGCGCAAGCCACGTGCATCCCTTCCAGGCCTGATCCATAATAACCTCCTAAAAGAGATGTTCTCGTCTCTTTCTGACGGGAGCATGTTCCCAAAACAAGAGGTAAGAGCTACAAGGCAGCAGCGGCCTGAATCTTTACTTTTGGAAGAAGGCTGCCCACTGGATTAGCCGCTGGAAATTTGGGGTTGGTTGTTACAGCAATTAGCCAACCCTGACCAAAACACAGGTTAAAAATTCCTTACTGGAAAATATAAAATCTGAAATGCTTCAAAATTTCAAACATTCTGAGTGCTAACATGGTGTCACACAAATGGGAAATTCCACACCTGATCTCATGTGATGGGTCACAGTCAAAACTCTGATTAATGTATAAAATCACCTTCAGGCTGTATGCATAAGGTGTATATAAAATTTAAATAAATTTAGACTTGGGTCCTATCCCCAAGACACCTCATTATGTTTATATGAATATTCCAAAATCCAAAAAAATCTGAAATTCAAAACACTTCTGGTCCCAAGCATTTCAGATAAGGAACATGCAACCTGTACTTCATATGATTAAGCTTTAGAAATCTGAAATTAGAAATTGGAATTTGAGTCTTGATAAAAGTATATGAATTCGCCATTTATTTCCTCATTTTAAAATGTTACTGTTTAGAATTTTGGATCTAAATAAAAAGCATTTGAAAATTTACTATATTCCTTCATTTTACATAATAGAATCTGAGGATCAAAGAAAGTGAAGTGATATTCCCAATGCCAGAGCCGGTGTGTGAGCCCAAACTGGTACTGGTTGTGCAATGGTTTGGATGTGTTCCTTAAAGTTCATTTGTTGGAAACTTGATCCCTAATCGGTGTTGGGAGGCGAGGCCTCATGGGAGGAGTTGGGGTCATGGGAACACTGCCTGCATGAATGGGGTAGATGTGGGAGTGGGGTCCTTATTAAAGGGCAAGGCAGGCTCCCTCTTGCTCTCTCTCTCTCGCCGTCTCTTCCTCCCTCCCTTCTCCATGTGATGCATTCCATCATGTTATAGCCCAGCAGAAAGGCTCACACCAGATGCTGGTGCCTTGATCTTGAAATTCTCAGCCTTTGGAGCTGTGAGGAAATAAATTTCTCTTCTTCACAGATTAGCCAGTCTTGAGTATTCTGTTATAGCAGCACAGACCAGTCTAAGGTTGCCTGCATAAATGAATGAGTCCCACTCTAATGTGCCACTGACTGTCCCATGCTGGTTTTTTTTTTTTTTTTTTTTTGGAGAGACAGTCTTGCTCTTACCCAGGCTGAAGTTCAGTGGCATGATCTTGGCTCACTGCAACCTCCATATCCCGGGTTCAAGTGATTCTCCTGCCTCAGCCTCCTAAGTAGCTGAGACTATAGGTGTGTGCCACCACGCCCAGCTAATTTTTAAATTTTTGTATTTTTAGTAGAGACAGGGTTTCACTATGTTGGCCAGGCTGGTCATGAACTCCTGACCTCAAGTGATCCACCCACTTCAGCCTCCCAAAGTGTTGAGAGTACAGGCATGAACCACCGCACCCGGCCCCATGCTCTGATTTTCTAACTTGTGTATTATGGGTTAACTTATATCCCCCAGCAAAATTCTTATGTTCAAATCCAAGCCCTAGTACCACAAAATGTGATGTTATCAGGAAACATGGACACTGCAGATGTAATTAGTTAAGATAACGTCATTAAAGTGGGCCCTGATCCAGTATTAGGAGTAATGTCCTAATAAGGGAAAATCTGGATACAAAGACAGACATGACAGAGGGAAGATAATGTGAAGAGGGAGAAGGCCG